TTCTTTCCAAATTTTTTCTTGTGGTTGACTTCAAGTTTTATAGCCTTGTGGTCAGAAAAGATGCATGGAATGATCTCAGTCTTTTTGTACTTGTTGAGGCCTTATTTGTGACCTAGTATGTGATCTATTTTGGAGAATGTCTCATGTGCACCTGAAAAGAACGCATTTTGTGCTGTTTTAGGATGGAATGGTCTGAATATACCTGTTAAATCCATCTGGTCCAAGGTGTCATTCAAAGCCATTGTTTTCTTGTTGATTTTCTTGTTGATTTTCTGCTTAGATGAGGTGTATATTGATGTAAGTGGGAGTATTGAAGTCTCATATTATTACTCTCAATGAGTTCCTTTATATTTGTTATTGTTTCATGTATTTCAGTGCTCTCATGTTGTGGGCATAAATATTTACAATTGTTAGACCTTCTTGTTGGATTGCCCCCTTTATTATGATATAGTTCCCTTCTCTATCTCTTGTTACAGTCTGTTTAAACTCTATTTTGTCCAATATAAGTATTGCTAATCTGGCTTTCTTTTCACATTCTTTTGCAAGATAAAAGTTTCTCCATCCCCTCCTTTTCAATCTGCAGGTGTCTTGGTCTAAAATGAGTCTCTTGTAGGTAGCATATAGATGGGTTTATTTTATCCATTCTGACAGCTTATATCTTTTGATTGGAGCATTTAGTCTGTTTACATTCAGAGTAATTAGTGATAGATATGTATTTAGTGCCATTTCATTATTTGTTCATTGTTTCTGGAGATATTCTCTTATCCTTTCTTGTCCCTGTCAGTTTTGGTCTTTCCTTTCCACTTAAAGAGTTGCCTTTAATATTTCTTGTAGGGATGTTTTAGTGGTCACAAACTCCTTTATTTTTCGCTTGTCTGGGAAACTCTTTATCTCCCCTTCTATTCTGAATGACAACCTGCCAGATAGAGTATTCTTGGCTGCAGATTGTTCCCATTCAGCACTTTGAGTACATCATTCCACTCCCTTCTGTCTTGCCACGTTTCTGTTGAGAAATCTGCAGCTGGCCTTATGAGTCTTCCTTGTAAGTTAGGGATTTCTTTTGTCTTTATGCTTTAAGAATTTTTCTAAATCATTATATTTTGAAAATTTAATTACAGTATGTTTTGGTGTTGGCCTGATGTTGTTGATTTTGATGTGAGTTTTCTGTATATCCCAGATCTGAATAACTGTTTCCTTCTCCAGATAGGGAAGTTTTTAGCTATGATTTGCTTAAGTAAATTTTCTGCCCTCCTTTCTCTTCTTCTGGGACTGCTAAAATACGAATGTTATTACATTTGATGGAGTCACTGAGTTCCCTAAATTTATTCTCATGTTCCATGATTTCTCTTTCTCTCTTTTGTTAAGCTTCATTATTTTCCATTATTTTGTCCTCTACATCACTTATTCATATTTCTGCTTCTTCCAGCCTTGTGTTCATTCCATCAAGTCTGTTTCCAATTTCAGTTATTGCAGTTTTCATTTCTGACTGATTCTTTTTTAACTCTTTTGTCTCTGTGGTAAGGGCCTCCCTGAAGTCTTCCATTCTTTTCTCAAGCCCAGCAAATATCCTTATGACTGTTGCTTTAAATTCTCCATCAGGCATGTAATTATATCTGTGTCACTTGGATCTGTAGCTGTGACCTAATCTTGTTGTTTCATTTGGGATAAATCCCCCTGTCTTCGCATTTTTTCCTAAGTCTCTATCTTCTTCTCTGTGTTAGAAAAGCCAGTAATATTTCCTGTTCCTGAGAGTAATGGCTTTATGAAGAAGCGGCCATACAGTATCCATGGCCTAGAGCTTCAGGGAGTGTCTCTGGTGTGTGCTCCCTGTGCTCTGCTGTTGTGCTGTGGCTGCTCTGTCCTTCAGGCCAGTCATCCTCAGAGGTTCTCCTTGCCTGCAGTGGGCAGTGTTTGGTTCTTGGCCAAACTGTGGCAAGTTTTAACTATGTGTGCTCTGGTCTGCTTGTGAAATGAGAGCTAATACTTCCAGTAGAACTGAAGCACTGCAGAGCTTTCTATTCAGGAGATGTGGTGTGAGCAGGGGTTTCTTTGGTCTTCTACAGAAGGGGCCCACCACACTGTGACTGATGCAAGCTTGACTGAGAAGGGCAGTACCACCAGAGAGCAGTGGTGTGGGACCTGGTATAAGCAGACTAGGCAGCCTGTGTTGGTGCTGTAGTGCTTCCTGCAGGTGGCTCTTTGTTTATGCTGAGGGGCTTGGACGGGGGAATGGTGCCAGCTAGCTTGTCCCTGGAGGAGTGCCTCCATGCACACTGCCTCTCAGGGAAGCACTCCAAGAAGAGCAAGTAATCTCCCCACCATATGTCCCAGGGGTTTTTCAGATTGCTGTTTACACACTATCTGACTCCCTGTTGCATACTGCCTTCTCTTCAGGAGCAGCACAGTGCTCTCTGGGCTCTATCCCAGCAAAGCCTGCTCACTTTATTTTCTTTTTAAGAGCAAGAGCCATATCTTATTCATCTTTGCACCCTCTAAGGCACCCAGCACAGTGCCTGGAGAAAATGGAGTTAAGTGTTTTTTTGAATAAACTCTGTTTCCATATTTGGGTTTCTCTAGTTTCTTCAATTTAGATCATTTTCATAAATTTCTCCAAAGGGATCTATATGGGAAGTCATTGACTTCCTCATTTCCAGATAAATTTTATATGTAATAGCATTAATGAAAATAGTGAAAATAAAAAGGGATCTATGTACAATACCACAGTATTATGTCCAATGTATGTATAACTACCTTGTGGCGAGGTGCTCATCAAGAAACATCGATTGGTGAGACAGTTCTTCCTTGTATGGACTATCCAGCATATTGACCTATCCTTTCAAATGCCAGCAGGTCCCTCCATCATTTTGGCAAATCAAAAAGGCCAGTATAGTTTAATTAATTTTTAATTAATTAAGTAATTAATTAAAAATAATTAAAAATTAAATTAATTTTAAATTAATTAAAATTTAATTAATTTTTCCAACTGTTAACCACAAATGCATCTTCCAAATTAAAAATAAAAGTTGATTAGATGCTTATTTGTTTTTTTAATTTTTTATTTAAATTCAATTTAATTAACTTATTCTGTATTTTTAATTTCAGAGGTAGAATTTAGTGATTCATCAGTTGCATGTAACACCAAAATGCTCATTACTTCAAGCCTGCTGACTTTTAAAACTGTAGGGTTTAGGAATGTGGTGTGGGCAGGGGCCTGTGCCGGTCTTGGGAAGAGGCCCACCATGCTGGAATTGAGGTGAGCTTGACAGAGAAGAGCAGTTGTGCCAGAGCGCAAGAGTGTGGGACTTGGTGTAAGCAAGTTAGGCAGCCAGTGTAAGGGCAGAGCTGCCCTCTGTAGGTAGCTCTGTGTTTGTATTAAGGGGTGGGGGAGGAAAGTGGCACCAGCCAACTCCTTTGTCACCAAAGAGGTGTCTCCCTTAACTCTGCTCTCAGGGTGGTGCTCCAGGAAGAGCAAATTATCTCCCCTCTGTGTACCCCAAGTGGTCTTCAGATCACTTATTTCCATGTCAGCTGCCCCTTGGTTGTTTGCCTGCCCTCTCTCCAGGAGTAGGGAAGCTCCCTCAGGGCTCTATCACAGCCAAACATGCCAAGCTTTAAAACAGCAGTCTTTAAACACCCCTGGTTGCAAGAACTCATGAAAGTCAGCCATTCTCATTTTCCCAGCCAATGGTTTTGGGGGTGCATTCCCCTGTGTGCTCCTCTCTCTCTTGCCTTTCTCCACGACCATGGCTCCCTCCCTTCTGCAGCACCCGTGATCCATTTCTCCCCCAAACCATGTGTCCACACATCCTACCTTCTTTGATGTGGCTTCATCTCTCCTTTTAGTTGTGGAGTTTGTTCTTTCTGTCTTCAGGGTGATTTCTGGAGTATTTAGAAAGATTTGATAATTATCTAGCTGTGTTTGAGGGGCAAAGACTAGAGTCCTACTCCACCACCATCTTTGCTCCCCTCCCCAACATCCCCGCACCCCCCCCAACTAACAACCTTGCATAGTTGTACATATGCCTATTTCCATATGGTGTTCATCAGGCCATGAGTACTTTTTGTGGATTTTTTCCACTTAAATGCACATACTTTTTTGACCTGGCCCAAATCCTTGTCAGTTCATGTATAATATGTATTGGTTAAGTACTTGTACAAAATGGTTTGTGTAGTCTTTGTGGTTGGGCCCAAGTTTCTTCTATTAAGAAGAATGTTTTTGTGTCAATTGTTTTTCCTATTTTTTGGTGGTTAATTCCCTTGGCCTGTTCCCCAAAATGGATCCAATCGATCAACAAATATGAACTATCTCATATGTATGATTTTGCATTTCGTCTACATTTTTCCAGAATTCTTAATGCCTGTGTAAATAGAATAAGCCCAGTGTACAGTGCTACCAGCAATGTGTGAGTGCATCAGTGTCTCTCCTGCCAAAACTCCTGCTAAATCCATTTCATAAAAAAATTATATATATTTATTTTATATTGACTGACCTGGAAACCAGAGACATAGAAGCAGGGAGGCAAGTTAGGGGACTGCTGTGATAGTCAATGTCTTAAGGAAAAAGGGCCTGAGTTTGGGTAATTATGAATTTAATAAATTCAAATTCATCATCACATATTGCCTAAATACCTACTATGTGCCAGGCTTATACTAAACATGTTAGTACCTAATTAAAATTTTAATATCTTTGTAAGATAATGTATTATTGGTCTTCATTATATAGATGAGGTAACTAAGACTTAGCAGATTGATATGACATACCCTAGGTCACACAAATAGAAGTTCTAGAGCTGGGTTTCAAACATATGCTTTCTGAAGGATTAAGCTGCTGGAAGAATTACAAAAAAAAAAAAAAAAAAAAAAAGGAAAAGAAATCCAGAGTTGTTATGACCAAAAATAGTTGGACGCTAAGGGAGGTAGCCCAGATAACTCCAGTATTGGATGCCTGTTCATGAATAGTGTTCCATTTGGCTAACCATTCAAGTAATTTTCTCTTTCAGGAGATTCTGACAGTTTCAGCAAAGTGCGGCCTCCAGGAGAAAAGCCTACCATCGTCCGCCCCCCAGTGAGGCCTCCAGACCCTCCATGCCGGGCAGCTACTCCCCAAAAGCCAGAACCAAAGCCAGATATTGTGGTTAGCAATGCAGGGGAAATCCCATCATCTGTGTAAGTAGAGTTTTTCCTCAACCTTGGCCTAAGGCTCATCTTAGGCCACGAAGAGTTCTTTCCAGGATCACCATAATGGTTGTGAAGGGTATACAGTGCACAACCCCAGGGTATCATTCACTTCATAGTCTAGGGAAATGTCACAGACAAGCCCTGTTTGGAGTGTTCCACTCAGCACCCAAGGCTGAGAGATTTCACTAACGCTGCCCTGATTTCTGTAGGGTGATAAGATTACCTTCTGCTTTCATGCTCCCTTGGCTCTGGAAATTTTTCATATTTTCTTATTGCTACTGTAATGAACAGATTTGTTCATTGTACTTGTGCCTTCAGGCTTTCTTTTTAAATCAGTGGTATGATTTTTTTTTTTTTAATCTTCTAAAATGACTCAGGTTCTCCAGAGAGCCTCTTGCAGGGTAAGAACTGAGCTAATGGCCAGCACGTTTTCCTGAGGTGGGACTGGAAGCCAAGAAACGAGGTATAAAGTAGCTAAGGCAGGGCCACAGCAGCTCTCAAGGACTAGCCTTGTATGGTCATAACTAGCCTGACTGGTCTCTCTTCAGCCAGTGCTTGGGACCCCTCTCATATACTGCCTCCTAGTATTCCTTTTTCTTGTGTCTCTTGTTTTCCATAATTGTAAAATGGGCGAAATAAGAAAAACAAAGCCTCTATCATGTTGATTAAGCAGCTAAGTGTATTTACGAAAATGTCAACAATTTATACATTGAAGCCAAGGACTTGTTTCACTTATTGCTCATAAGAATAGCCTGAACAAACAACATACTTACACCACTCTGAACCAAGGGAAAGCAAAGGGCATTAGACGTAGCCTTGAGGGTGCTTATGGTCTCTGAGTCATTTCACATTCTGATATTTGGGTTCTCCTTAGGCCCTGGTCCTTTGCAAGCTAGGGAAGCCCCTTCAGTTGGTAGCCTGTTTGGTTTATACTTTTTGTCTTGTCCATTGTTTGTTGGTTCTCATATGTATTCCAGAGCAACTCATGGGACTTGATTGGCTTCTGTTTGCAGGGTGGCTTCCAGGACCAGGTTCTTTGAAACAGCTTCCCGAAAAACAGGAAGGTAAGACACATAGATGACAGAAGAGACACCAGGTTACTTTTTAATAAATGGATCATGAGCATCACAGTTGCTGTCTTACATTCTCTTTTTCTGTTTCTGTGTAGTTTCATCTCTGGCTCTCTGTTTGTCCCTTTCTCTCCCCTAGTTCTGTCTCTCTGTTTCCTGTTCTCTCACCCTACACATCTATTTTTGTCTCTGTATATATGTTTCTCTGTCCTTGTTATTCTATTTGTCTCCCTCATACTCTTTCTTTCTCTGTGTCATTGTCATTCTCAATCTCTTTCTGTCTCTCTTTGTGTTTTTCTACTTATATCTCTGTTTCTGTGTCTCTGTCTCCCTCTTTGTTTGTTTTACTCTTTTTCTGTCTCTCTCTCCCCTTTCCCTCGTTCTTTGCCTGTCTCTGTATCTGTGGTATCTTTGAGTCTCTGACTGTGTTTTTCTACGTCTTCCTCTCTTCTGCTTCTCTCGTCTGTCTCTCACACACACAGTACTCACATGCCAAGTAATATTGCAAAAGAACATGACATTCAATGTAGGTCTTGTTTTTTTGTTAGTTTACTTATTTAGATTCTATTATATTCTAAAAGGGCAGCTGATAGGAATCTATAGAATGCAACACCCACATAAACAGCCTTAGAATAAACACAGGTAAACATTAGGTGGTATGATATAAATCACCTGGAAACAACTGAGGGAACAAAAACATAAACAGATTTGCTTTCCACCCTAGACCCACTAACACAGAATCTCCAGGAGTGGGGCCTGGGAATCTCTTTTTTTGTTTTATTTCCTTCCTTCCTACCTTCATTCCATTTTGTTTGTTTTTAAAACTTCTAAGGTATTGGTACAAATTGTCCAAAGTTTGGCATTTGGGACCCTTTAGAACAGAATACCTAAGAAATGGTTGCTTAGCCTTTAGGGACTCTTTTGTGATTTTGCTCCATGTTGCTTTTTAGAGAGTTTGAAATTGTGTTTCCTGATGGGTGATAAGAGTATAACTCTTCTAGGTGGTCAGTTAAAAGAACAATGTGCCTTTACCAGCAGTGGAGCTAGGGTAAGTTTAACATCATCTAGTCAAAACTGTGAGACCTAACTCACCAGGACATGATACTGCACAGCAAATCACCCTAGTTCTGCTTGGCAGTCAGCCATTAAACCAGGTCCAGTTCTCCTTAGACAATAATTTGCTATTTATTCTACCATAACAGATAAAAATGAGGTCAAGCTCCCAGATTTCTCTTACTAATACAGTAAAATTTTTGCCTAGGATGTTTTTAAATCAGGCTTAGTCAAATGTCCCTCTTGAGAAAAAAGATGAAAGAGAGAGACAGAGAGACTCTTTAATACTCTTAATATAGTACCCACTTTTGAGCAGGACCACTTCCTATTTCCTGGTGATCCTTCCTCCCTCCCTAGAATAAGCCATATGAGAAATAAGTTACAAGGAAATGGAATGAAGTAAACTAGAATTAACAGAGTGAGCTGGGTATATCTATAAGAACACTCTTTAGAGGAAGTGATATCTAATTTGGGGCTTAAAAATGAGTAGAAATACACCAAAAAGTATGAGGAATTCATCTGTATCCTTGGACAGGGAACCAGTGTATTGAGAGAGAATATGTAAGAGGCATTAACAAAGTCCAGTAGAATCTTTAAGGCAGGCCAACTTCTAATAAGAAAACTATAGCCAAACTGATGTTGAGAGTATGGAAAGATTGATACTGCTGTCTGAGCTTTGTCACCTACTGCTCAGGGAATTCTTGGACCAACTCACAAAATAAGGGGGGGGGCTCTAACCAAACCAGGCACTTCAGGCTAAAGCACCACTCTACTTATCCTATGTTTAGGCCTCTGGAACCTAGATTTAATCCTGTTCCTTATCCCCAGATTCCATCTTGCCAGGAGTGTGGCCAAGACTGAAGTGGATACACCTGTCCTCCAGTGTGTCATGAGCCATAAAGCCATATAGGTTCCTCCCATTTAGTATCCACATAGAAAAAAACCACGACTTCTGTCTATACTCCCACCTTGTGACCACCACTTACATCAGTACATCTACATGCTGGCCACTGGTCAAGATCCTCAGACTAGCCACATCAGTACCATCTATAGACATTGTTGGCAAGCTCTTCTCTCTGATGAAAATAATGATCTGTTTAGCTTTTGTTCTGCTCCTTTTTGCTTTCCATTTGTACCCAACTGTAGCCTGACATTTGAATCACTTTACTTCCTCATTCATCTCTCTTCCACAACCAATAAAAAATTTAAAACTTAAATGAAAATGGGAAGTGGTCCATCAAGAAGAGAAGGAAGGGGTTCAGCAAGGCAGAACAGCTTATGCAAGACAGGTTCAGTAAGTGATTAGTGTTGCACTTTGGCTATGATATGGGGGTGAAAAGAGGGAAGCTTATCTGGAGGTGAGGCCAGAAAGATAGACGGGGTCCAGATTGTAAAACCTTAAATGACATACTAAGGAATTTGGTCTTTATACTTTAGTCCATGAGGAATCATGTAACCTTTAAGCATGACAATGCATACTCTGAGATGACTAAGTTGTGAAACAAAACAAAACAAAAAACAGATAAAACCTCATTCTGTTAGTAATGAGAAAGATAGATGGGAGAGTAAAGACTGGAGACAGAGACAAATTGGGAGGCTAATCATCATGGCAACAATTGATGAGGCCCTAACCTATGGCATTGCCAGTGAAATGGAATAGAAGGACAGATATGAGATAGACACAAGGAGACCTGGCTGACTTTTCAAACATGGAGCATTGGATGGGCAACTGGGTGGCTCAGTTGGTTAAGTGTCTGCCTTCGGCTCAGGTCATAAACCCAGGGTCCTGGGATTGAGCCCCACATTGGACTCCCTGCTCAGTAGGGAGTCTGCATCTCCCTCTCCCTCTGCCCCTCCCCACCACTTATGCTCTTGATCTTTCTCTCTCTCTCTCTCTAATAAATAAATAAAATATTTAAAAAAAAAAAAACATGGAGCATTGGAGAAGGATTAAGAGGGAAAGACGTCTGACTTGGAAAATTAAGTGGATGGTAACAATAATTAATCATAGAAGAACAGGTTTTGTGGGAAAGTTGCTCTCAATTTTGGACACTGTTTTTGAAGACCCTGTGGGATATCCAGATAGAAATGCCCAGTGCAGGTTGAGAGGAAGATGGTGGTAGAATAGGAGGACCCTAGGCTTGCCTCATCCAACGAACACAACTAGATAACTAAAAATCATCCCAAATATCCCAGAAATAGACATGAAGACTGTCAGAAAAATCTCCTTAAATAAAGGGAGAGAAGAGGCCCCATTGAAGAAGGTAGGAAATGCGAAGAGTGGGCTTAGGGGAGAAAGGAATCTCAGGTGCTGTGGAGGGGAGGGAGCTGAGGTTGCAGAGAAGGGCAAGAGAGAGACCAGCACACAGAGGAACACACAAGGAGAACATTTCCCTAAACCCATTGGCTTGGAAAATGAGAGTGGTTGAATTTCCTGAATTCTTGCACCAAGTGGGGCTTAAAGCCTGCAGTTGTGCTTTTTTTTTTTTTAATTGATTCGAGACACAGAGGTACAGAGAGAGAGAGCATGAGCAGGGGGAGAAGCAGAGGGAGAGGGAGAAGCATAAAGGAGAATGGGTTTTGCTGAGATAGAGGCCTGGAGGCACTGTGCTGCTCCCGGAAAGAAGGCAGGCAAACAACCTAGGGAGAGACAGCGTGGAAAATGAACTGAAGAGCACCTGCAGAACACAGAGGGGAGACTGTTCACTCTTCTCAGAGTGCATCTCTGAGAGACAGTGTTCACGGAAATACCTCCAGGAACAAAGGAGCTGGCTGGTGCTATTTCACTCCCCACCCCTCAGCATAAACACAAAGCCACATGCAGGAAGCACAACAAACAAAGCCTAAAGCCAGGAAGAAGGAAGGAAATAATAAAGACTAAAGCAGAAATTAATGAAACAGAACCTAAAAAACAGCCAATAAAACAGATCAATGAAAGCAGGAGCTGGTTCTTTGAAAAAA